AATGGAGAAATGCTATGAATTCAGAAATTCAATCCATTGAGAAGAATGAAACATGGTTTCTCACTAATCTACCGGAGGGAGCCAAAAGTATAGGAGTAAAATGGGTTTATAAGACTAAATTGAATCAATATGGAGAAGTTGAAAAGTACAAAGCTCGGTTAGTTGCAAAAGGATATGCACAAGAACACGGAGTTGATTATGAGGAAGTATATGCACCAGTCGCTCGGATGGATACCGTGAGGATGATTTTAGCATTGGCAGCTCAGAAAAGTTGGATAATCTATCAGCTAGATGTAAAGTCAGCTTTCTTGCAAGGAGAACTCTCCGAAGAAGTGTATGTAGACCAGCCAAGAGGGTATGAAATCAAGGGTGCTGAAAGAAAAGTGTACAAGCTTCGTAAGGCCCTATATGGATTGAAGCAGGCACCACGTGCATGGTTCAGCAGGATAGATACTTACTTTCAGAAGATGGGATTTGTAAAGGATGTCAGCGAGCAAACACTCTTCACGAAATTCAACAAACAAGGTAAATGCCTAATTATTAGCTTGTATGTTGATGATTTGATCTACACTGGTAACGATCAAACTATGATGAATGAGTTTAAAGAATCCATGATGAAAGAATTTGAAATGACTGATTTGGGAAGAATGAAATACTTCCTGGGAATTGAGGTGTTGCAGCTTGATAATGGAATTTTCATGTGTCAAAGAAAGTATGTGAAAGAGTTACTAACAAAATTCAGAATGGAGGAAAGCAACTCTGTCTTAAATCCTATCGTCCCGGGGTTTAAGATTCACAAAGATGAAGAAGGTGTGAAGGTAAATATCACACTCTATAAGCAGCTTGTGGGAAGTATGATGTATGTGACAGCCACTCGGCCAGATGTAATGTATGCTGTTAGTCTGATTAGCAGATACATGTCTATGCCAACTGAACTTCACTTTGCAGCAGCCAAAAGAATTTTAAGGTATTTGCAAGGGACTATTGAATATGGGCTCTTTTACAGGAAAGAAGGAAACAGAGAGCTAGTAGGATTCACCGACAGTGATTACGCTGGATGTGTGGAGGACAGAAAAAGTACATCCGGGTATACCTTCATTCTCAGTGATGCAGCAGTGGCATGGTCCTCCAAGAAACAACCAATTGTTACTCTAAGTACAACCGAAGCAGAATTTGTGGCAGCAGCAGCTTGCTCTTGTCAGTTAATATGGATGAAAAGAGTGTTGGGCAAAATTGGCTATGAAGGAAGCAGCAACCCTGTTATTTTCTGTGATAACAACTCAACAATCAAGCTATCAAAAAATCCGGTGATGCACGGCAAAAGCAAACACATCGATGTAAGGTTCCACTTCCTACGTGAGCTGGTGAATGAAGGAGCTGTTCAGTTAAAATTTTGTAGCACGCATCAGCAGGTTGCAGATATATTTACTAAGCCACTCGACACAAGAACCTTCCAGGGACTTAGAAAGAAGCTAGGAGTATGTGATGCACCAAAGTTAAACTGAATTGGATTGATCAGTTTAGGAGGAGATGTTAAGATTAATATTTTGATATTTATTTTTAATTAAATTAAGTATTGCAGCACATTAGAATGTGTCAGCTTATTGTTAGCTATTTTATTGTTTCAGTCAATGTCAGTACCTAGATTTTAGGAAGGAATAAACTGCTCCACATATAATGGGGCAGTTAGGGAGATCGTGTGATATTATGTAAGCCTATTTATTGGCCTTTTCTTATTCAATTAAGTAAGTTTTCCAGCATTTGATTCTAACATATACTACAAATGGTCAATCTTCTATTATTGTCATTCAACTGTGAAATCCTCACTATGATGATGATTTTGATGACCAAGTGAAGATTGATCATGTATTGTTGGTAGAAGTAGTCTTAGATGTATATTTTTTTTTGGACATCATCGTTAATGTATTCCGAGTTTTTGGGGTTGTTTATTGTTGTAGCTATGACTACTTTTTAGTATTGTTTTTATGTAATATTTGGATAATTGTTACTTCAAATTTCCTATGTTAAAGCATTATGTCATTTTGCTTCTGAATTTAATGTGTCATTTATTTATTATCTAAATTTTGTTGCATGTGCTTTTGCTCTTTGATTGTTTTTTTGAAGGAGACGACATGACATGATTTGTGATCTTGAAAATTAATTTAAGGATACACATGATCTTGATGAAATTGATTGAAGGAGAAGACATAACATGACATAATTGCTATCTATTTGGCTGATCTATTGGCAAACATGGTCAGTATCTATAGATTCTACTCACACATAATTGTTATCTTCTCTGTGGAAACACATGATTGTTATCTTCCTATTGCAGAGAAAACCAAGACAGCGATGGAGAAATTCAAGTGTGTGGTTGTTCAGGCAAAGGACGTTACCGTAGAGAAAGAGAAGACTGCCGCGGGAATCACAGGGAAAGTGGTGTTTGTTGTGGTGTGGACAGCAACGCATTATGCAACACAGTTGGCGGTGTTTGGAACTGTATTTACAACAATTGCTATCTATTTCCACTATATATGGTTTAGCTTAAAATCTATACTTATTGTGTTTCCTTCAACTATTGTAATATTAGAAGGGACTGAGTTTAAACTGTTATTAACGGACAAAAACTGCTGTGTTTACTTAGCTTCAGATGGTGGTAGAGTTTGTCCTCGTCTTGTCATTGCTAACAAAAAAATATCAAGAGTCAATGCTTACCATATGAAAGAGTTAAAAGGTAATCTTATCATATGCTTTTATCTTGAAATAGAGAATGAAAGTTGTTTATGAGAATATTAACTCAAATGTATTGGTCCTTTATATTGGTTAAGTTTAAACAAACTACTAACAGTTTGGTTCGATTTCCGGTTAGGAATTGAACCATGAACAATCCAAAATCTAATTATTTTCCTTATGTGTATCCCCATCACAATTGGGGTCAGTTAGTTTAGAGCTATTTTTTGTTGTGATTTCAGTATTATTAAGGAATCTCATTAATGTTATCTGATGACTATTCAACAAAACTTTCAAATAAAAGATGGACATGGTACTTGTAATGTGTCTGTCTGTTGATTCATCATTTATTACCTTGAATTCTAATCCTTCTGTAGTTAATGGGTTCAATCAACAAAGTTATTCATCTCATGCACTTTGTTCTTTAAGAGGTGAAAATAATATCACTGTGTTGTTTGGGCTGAAGTAACCCCTACAAATTTTGATTCAAGTTTGCAACAACATAACTTAGTTGGTTCTGCGTTGTTTTGAGAATTCATCTCTAACCATTTTTTTTTCTACCTTATGTATTTTGTGAAGATTCGGTTCAACGGCTCGCTTGGTAATGAAAATAATTTGTAAGGGGTGTCTACTGCAGTAGGTCGATAGCTAGTTAGTTCATTTACTTAGTTTTTCTATGATCCAACTTAGGGTCTTAATTCTATCAAAATTTCAAAAGTCGTAGAATTTGTGTAGAACTATTAGAATTACCAAAAATTTGTGTAAAACTATTAAAATTACCAAGAATGAGCATGGTCCTCGCTAAATAATTTTGTTGACTTTTATAATTTGATTTTAATCTCGGTTAGGCTGAAGTTAATTATTTTGTTGAATTATGTAGTTTGACCTTAGCCTTGATCAAGCAGAGGCTAAATATTTTTTTGACTTGGGAAGTTTGACCTTAGATGAAGTTTGACCTTAGCTTCGATCAGAACCAAACCTAAATATTTTGTTGACTTATGAAGTCTGACTCTAGCCTCAAAATAGCCGAGACTAAATATTTTGTTGACTTATGAAGTTTAACTTTAGCCTCGATCTAGATCAAGGCTAAATATTTTGTTGACTTATGTAGTTAGACTTTAGGCTCGGTAAGGCTCAAGCTATTTTTTTTTTGTTGGATTCTTTAACTTGACCTTTCAGCGTTAGCTTTAGGGTAGCCTCGATTTAGACTCGGCCAGACCGAGGCTACTGTAGCACGGGCCAAAATCCAGACCGAGGCTACTGTAGCACGGCTCATTTTGGCCGAAGCTAAATTAGCTTTGATTGTTTTAGACTTTCTCCGACACCGACGTTACGCCGACACTAATTGTCTCGTAGCGTCGAAAACGGCGAGGTTAAATATTATATTTCTAGTGGTGTGTTGATTTTTTAACAAAAGCATTGGCTCCACCAAAGTTCTAAGATTTTTGTATCCAAGCTTGGAATGATAAGTATTTATCATAGTCAAACTTGTGAGATGTTGGTGTTAAATGGCAAAGAGAACGAAAATTAGAAGCATAACAGCCAAGCCAATCCACCAGATGTGAAGATAGCATGATAATCACATATTGTATGCACCATAAGTTACTGCCTTTGAGCCATTTTCTGTTGTAATTGTCTTAATAGATTTTCAAAATTCTATTATGGCAGTTAGCTTTGTTTCCATACATGCTATCCCATTCTAGCTAAGGCGCACTGGCTGTATGATTGTATAAATACTTGAACACTCCTAGTAATCAATTAGATGATGCAATTATACTTGACAATTTCTCTTTTTCATCTTGTTTTCACTTTCTCAACAATAACCTTCCTACTCTTCTTACTCTTAAAACAAGCCTGGAAATAACCAGTATCCGCATCCCCTTCCTTCAGCAACCTACTCATAAAATGCACCAATGTTGTGTTTCATATGAGAAAATGATGTATTTAGGAAAGAAATTTTTGTGTTTAATCGGGTGGAGGCAACCTAGCCAGAGCGAGCTAACCGGTGTAACTACTCAAATAGAAGGAGTATTAATCCCTTTTAAAAATTCTATATAAAAGGTAATGAAAGAAGAAATGTAAAAAAAGATCAAACTAATTAATTAAATTACATTAAAGATAATATGCATCTATTTCATAGTAACATACACAAATACAAAATAACATAGTCTCACCATAACATTATTTATTTATGACAATGGTGACATGCAGATAGGTTGAAGTAAACACAGAATATGTATATTGACATCACAAAACTTATAATTCTTATATCAGATGCATCTTTTACTAACTTTGACCTTAAAGCCATGCTCCATGCGAAGAACAGTAGAAATCGTTGGTGTTACAGATTGACTTTCCACAGCATGTATGTGAAACCTCCACAACATAGCAGCCGCAACCATTTTCATTTGAAGAAGGCTAATACCTTTTCCAATACAACTTCTTGGACCGGCATTGAATGCTATGAACTTGTAAGATGGTACATGTATAATCTGTCCTTTATCTGATATCCATCTCTCTGGCTTAAATTCCAAGCAATCATCTCCCCATATTTCTTCCGTCCTTCCCATTGCATACAAAGAATATATTAACTTTGTATTGGGACTAACATGGTGTCCACTAGGTAGTACATCAGATTTGACTGCACACTTGTGCTCAAATGGAACAGGTGGATAAAGCCTTAAGGCTTCACATATAGCTCCATGAAGATACACTAGCTTATCAAGGTGTTCTATGCTTAAATTTGTAATAGAATTCTCCTCTTGTCCTAAATAGTTATCTTTGATCTCTTGAATGATTTTAGCTTCCACAATAGGATGAGTTGAAACAAGCCAAAAGAACCAACTGAGACCTGAACTTATTGTTCCATCTCCTGCAGCCAGGAGATTGAGTGCAGTGTCTCTAAGATAATGCTTCTCAACCATGCCTCTTTTCATCAATTCTTTAAGCAAGCATGGATGATATTCATCCACGCCTTCCGAGTAAGTTATACACTTGTACAAGAATTGGTGAATACTTTCTTGAGCTACCTTTCTCTTCCTTTCTTTACCTATTTGTAGCCATTTTTGTACCTTCCAAATACATTTTGGAATACAGTGTCTCAACAAATGCGTATCATCAAGCACAGAAATGGCTTTTACATAAGCATCATCTGAAAATTCATTGAAGTTGTAAGGAAGGGAATTTGGATCAAATCCAAATAAAAAGGCACAGGTGATGTCAAAGGAAAGCCTCTCAATAATATCATGTAAATCAATTACTTGTACACCTTTGCATGAAAGTTCAAGAAGAGGTAATAGACAATTCTCTAGCTTCTTTTGAATGTTATTTTGATGGAAAATCTCAAAGCTTTTACTTTTTAGCAATGAATGAAGTAGTGCCCTCTCTTGTTTCCATTCATTGGAATCCAAATTAAAAATACCAACACCGAAAACATCAAAAATCTCATGGAAATCAGATCCTTTCCCATAGTTGATGAAATTCTTGCTAGTGATGTGGTGCACATTCATGGGATCACAAGTGATGATAATGTTGTTCAAGTGATGTGGTGCACATTCATGGGATCACAAGTGATGATAATGTTGTTCATGTTTGTGAGCCATGGTCCTTTAAAATGAAATGTGCTTCCATATTGTTTGGAACCTGAGGTCAAAAAATCATGAAAATTGGATAGATTAAGGAGAAGTGATGGTAGCATGCCAATTATTGGCCAATTTAGTACAACACCACTTTTGTGGCGCCTCCATATATTGTAGAATATGATGAAGAAAATGAATAGAAACGATAAAATGAAATGATACAGGTTCATTGTACTTAGGCTAAAGCGTATGTGGTTCAAATTGTATATGTGAATGATATCTTGAAGAAAAGGATGAGTATAAGATATATATTCAGTTGCACTTTCAGCAATGGCTTTATTTCTAGTACTATTAATGACGTGCAAACATGCGTTATGAGTCGGTGTTTTTAACTTTTATAAAATAATAAAAGTTGCTAAATTTTTTAGAGATTAATTCTTATGCAATGTAAAAAAAAAAATTTTATAGTATCGATTCATCATTTTTATCCGTTTGTCTTATTTTATAAGTGATTAAAATAAAAGTCAAACTCTTCTGAATATCTAATGATTATGATTAACTCATAGTGTAAAATCTTTTTACACTGACAGTGTATTTCAATTAAATTTAATTTTTTATTATTACTCTTGAAAAAGATTAACTAAAGATAAATTTGAGAAAGAAAAAAAATATTATATTTGAAATTTTTTTTTAAAATTTAAGAGATGAATAAAAAGAAAATTAATTTATAAAATTATCAAAATATAGAAAATCAGAAAGCACTAAATTTGACCGATTTGATTCGTGGTTCAGACCGTGTAATGCGTTTATATAAACTAGCGTCCAAACGGAGTGCCCGTTTGTCCGTTTTTTTATTGCACTAACGCGTGAAAATATTAACTAACGTATCTTTTTATAAGTTTGATTTTAATATTAACTATTTATATTAATTTTAGTATAAATTATTTATATGAAACTTTTTTAAAACCCAGTTTAATATTATTTTTGAAATTATATACTGATATAATAATTATTTATTTTGACATTTGTTGTTGGAGTATGTGTATGTGAAAATTATCAGTTTAATATTAACTATTATTGCACTAATACGTAAACATAGATATATATTTATCAATTACCTACAAATATTAAATTCAATTTATATTTAAAACAAAGAAACTTGTTCGTTCGCCTTTTTAGTATACACAAGTGTTAAAACATAAACATATTTTTTAATTTAATTTTGATCTTAAATTAAATTATTTACATAGCATTTAAACGGGCATACCCGTTTGTACGCTTAAACACAACATCTTGCAACTTATCTAAAAAAAATGTTACCAAATTTCTATAATACCAATTCTTCTTTAATTTGTTTCAATATTAAAAAAAGTATAAACAATTTCTATTATATATATATATATATATATATATATATATATATATATATATATATATATATATATATATATATATATATATATATATATATATATATATATATATATATATATATATATATATATATATATATATATATATATATATATATATATATATATATATATATATATATATATATATATATATATATATATATATATATATATATATATATATATATATATATATATATATATATATATATATATATATATATATATATATATATATATATATATATATATATATATATATATATATATATATATATATATATATATATATATATATATATATATATATATATATATATATATATATATATATATATATATATATATATATATATATATATATATATATATATATATATATATATATATATATATATATATATATATATATATATATATATATATATATATATATATATATATATATATATATATATATATATATATATACATATATATAGATATTTATATATATATATATATATATATATCTATATATCTATATAGCATGGCCTTTCCCATTTCTTTGTGTATAAAACAAATCAATTACTAAACTTTAAAAGATAAGATAGACACTTTGTCTATTTTGGTTTAAACATAGTAACTCATTTTTATTGGTATTACCAATTGAAAACTACACTTTTGTTTATTCAACATCATTTTTTTCGTTAACATACAATTATAATAATTGATGCATGCGAAAGAATAAAAGTGAAATGATGAAAAGATAGTCAAATTTAAAGCCACGAACCCTCTTAGTTTTTTTTTCTTTTCCATTTTCTTTCTCTTACACTCATAACTTCTCTCATACATCACACATTTTGTATTTATTTTTCAAAAATATGATCTTCTACATTCATAGAGATTCACTCCACTTAAAAAAAATCTTCTTATATAACCACTAATCAATCCACTATGCTACACTTTCTTCCCCTATTAAAAATTAAATGGAAAAGCAAGGGAACCATCCATTTCAATTTGGGTTGGGATTGTAAATTGAAATAGCAACTGTCAAAAGTTAATGATATCAACATTTAAAACAAAAATTAATCATAAAACAAAAATTAATGATAGTATTTAAACCGTCGTGTAACCGCGGTTGTAAGAAAAAAATTAAAATTTAAAACAAAAATTGAAAAGGATAAATTTGAAAGAAAAAAAAGGCTACACCAAACTAATGTTTTGCCTTAGATTAGTTTTAGTTTATTTTGCGTTGAATTTTAATAATTATTTATGAATTCATTTTAATAAATATAGTCAATATTTTATTTTGAACAACGATAAGAATTAATCATAAATAAAAAAGAATATATATGATTGTAAGTTGAAAGTTATATTAAAACTACTACGAATAACACTTTATTTCGGTTCGTGAAATGAGTTTTAGTGGTTATGCGGACAAGGTAACGAAGGTCGATATGATAACTTGCTACTTTTTTCTTGGTTTTTTTAAAAATCGGGAGTACAAAGTAAATGATCATTGGTTCGATCCCTAGCAACAATATATTTTTATTTTTCATTAGTAAGTAAATGATCGTTGTTTCGATCCCTAACAACTAACATATTTTTATTTTTCAAATTTTGTTGCGCGTAACATATACATCTTAGTTTTATTTAAAAACCAAGATAATAAGGTATATTTTTACCTCAGTTTTAATTAATAACTTAGGGGTTAAATCTTATTTATTGTCATATATAATTTGTTTTAAATCACATTTTCAGTGGATTGTATCATATCATTATAAATCTTGTAAACACAGAATACCAAATTTACATTATTTTAAATCTTATTTTCATTGGTTTGTATCATCTTTTACATAGAAACTACAAAATATGTGATAGATTTGGAATATACTTATCATTTTAAATCTTGTAAACACATCATAACAAATTATCATTGATATCAAAATCAAATGTACAAATTTACATTGTTCTCATCAAGATAGAATACACGCATTTACATATTTGCACATAAAAATGACAAAACCTCTGCACATATACAATTTAAGATTATAACAATCAAGAAAAACTATTGTTGTCGAGATTCAAAACAAGATAGGAGGGTACCAATCCAATGTGATTGGATGTCATGTATATCTTCTTTTGAGTATGATATTTTGTCGTTAACTCTTATAATTAGAACAAAATTTAAATTATGATAAGCTAACAACAACAAAATTAACTTAAGAAATATAAATATGTATATATATGGATTAAGCTAATATCGGATGCTTCTTTCATCCATTTGTAATTTCTGCAGAGACAATATGGAGCATATATCTCTTAACATAGTATCCATTAGAATAGTCGTTGGATTGTTTTCGCCACTATAAATAGTTTTCATAGATTTATATCACTAATACACACAAATAACATAAATAAAAAAGCACGAGTAATATACTTACTTTTAGGTATGAAAAGTTTGACGTTTTACAAAGTAAATTTCGTTTGATTGCATTATGTCCATCCATCGTTTTGCACATGTCGGTTAAAATTAAACATGAATAAAAACTATTCAAATCTAAAGTTAAAATTTGAGTATTAAGAATAATATCACTTACACATTCAAAACATTAACCACAACTTCAGGCAGTACAAAGTGCAACGAGCAAAACACAACTATAGCATTTTTTTCTCAAACATATAGCAGCTATGTGCCAATGATCACTGCATAAACATTCAAAATAATTAATAATATGTATAAAATTGATTTATAAATAAAACATAAATTAATATATACTTACTTGCAGTAAAATGAGGCCAAATAACATTTTTTGTTCTCTTTCAACTTTTGTTGTACGGAAACAAAGATATTGTTCCTTGTCGAACCGCGAGTAAGACCAAGCAACGATGGATCTAAGAAACAATACTTATTTATATTCCTTTCAACACAAAACTCATGCATGAACCTGCAAGAGTCAAATCTTTATGTTAATGTATAAAAATGTGTGAATATAAATAGAAATCGACATTAAAACTATACTTATGAGCGCCAAATTTGTAGTACGGAATTGTATATGTACTCATCTCCCTTCAAAAATTTATAAATAGAATTCTTAGAAAGTATAAATAACTAACATAGATCATAACTTAATGTAATACCCATGCATGGGTTTGGAATACTTTCTAATATCATTAATAGTCTCTCAATGTTATCTAATTTTGATGGTGTGGTTTCAATACTGCACTGGTTGGCAGAAAAACTTTCTTTTGTGCTTGTATCACTCGTAGCTTTCTCAACTACATTCTCTTGAGTTTCCAACTGATTTGAATTTGTGGGTTTGAGTAGACCCAACGAATTAAACTTCTGCATCATAAAAACAACATAAATATAATACAAAATTAAAATACCCAAACAATAATAACAACAATATACCACTTATACCTCAAGCAAATTGTGGATACACTTATCGGACATCTTCTCAAGATCCTCATCGACCATCCGCTTTCGCTCCTCCTCAACCTTCTTCTCTCGCTCCTCCTTGGCCTCTCTCTCTCTCTCTCTCTCTCTCTCTCTCTCTCTCTCTCTCTCTCTCTCTCTCTCTCTCTCTCTCTCTCTCTCTCTCTCCTCTTGCTCCTTCTAGACTCTCTTTCGCACCTTCTGTAACAACCTCTTTCTATCCTCCTCCAAGATCATGTCCTGCTCGTCCTTCCATCTCTCCCTTTCCTTCTCTAACATCCTCCGCTCACACACCCACTTCTCCCTTTCCTCCCCGAATATAACAACAACAATCTCTTCAATCTCTCTCTTACGATTTTCTTCTCTATATGATTTAGATGGTAAAAAATATAACTTGATGCTAACACTTCTTCCAAGTCCATGGGCACGCCCAAGATGCTCATCGGTTCCAATTTCTACCAAGATGTCCCGACGATCTTGTGAAGCGAGGAAGCCGACTTTGGTTTGTTCAGCCAGACCATCCTACAACACATATGAAGTTTCATCTTTAGAAAATTGATTTAACCAAAATAAATATTGTTAAAAAAAGTATCTACTTACACTACTACGGAAAACACATATCACAAGGGTTGGAAAAAGGATACCACCACACTCGACAACCGTTGTGAGGTAAGGTATGATTGTATGTATGATGTTTTTCACCACGGTCGTGTGACCATAATTATATGTCAAGTAGTGCGCTACCTACCACAACGATTATTTTAAATAACCGTTGTTGTATGTCTCAACCTATCACAACTGTTACTTTAAATAATCGTTGTTGTATGCCTTTTAATAAAATAAAATAAATGCAGTAGTAGAACAACAAGAACAACAAAAAACTACAACAAAAACAACAAGAAGAAGAACAACAACAACAACAACAATAACAACATAAAGAACAAGAACAATAACAAGAACAAAAACAACTAATATTGCTAACTTGAAACCATGTTTTCTTTGTCTCATTCAAGTTGGAGAAGAGGTGGTGGAGTTATGAAATTTGTTAATGATAGAAATGATGTTTTTGAGTTTTGATTATGGAAGAAATGATGTTTTAAAGCTTAATTTAGTGGAGAAATAGAGTGTTGAAAATGGAAGAAGATGTTTGGAGGTAGAAGATGAAGTTCGTCTAAGTTGGAAGTTCATCTACATTTTAGGTTTCACGGAGATCACTAATGGTAGTGTCTTGAGCGTTGATCCTCACTAAATAAACGGAAAAGATTTGTTTTAGAACGGTGAAAAAACTCAATAAACACGCTCACTTTAATAAATATAAATAAAAAATAAATTGTACCCATCACAACGGTTACTTTAAACAATTGTTGTTGTATGTCTCAACATATCACAACGGTTATTTTAAACAACCGTTGTTGTATGTCTTTTAATAAATAAATAAAAACAAATTGTAGGTACTAGGATTCTAACACATGACCAGGCGCCACTTTTCACCACGGTTGGAAGTTTCAACCGTGATAAAAAAAATAGCTTAAAAATATTATAAAAAAAATCAAAACAAAATTGTAGGTGTTAGGATTCGAACGCATGACCTGACACCACTTTTCATCATGGTTGGTACCTTTGACCATTGTGAAATGTCATTTATTAAATACCAACTAAAAAAAGCTCCCAAAAAAATTATTACCATGGTTAACAGGAAGCCCATTGTAAAATTGGTGTTACAAAAGGTCTATTTTGTAGTAGTGTTACAATCTTTTGAATCACTTTGTGTGTAACATTTGATGTGAACTTGTCGTTTTTTCTTTTACGTGCCCTCTTCCATTTCTAGTGGCGTGATGGTGGAGATGGAGTGCGATCAAGGCTTATAGAATCTCTCAGTTCTAGTTCCCTTTGGTTTCTTTTTCTCTTTAATAATTGTTTTATGTTTATGTGTTAACTTTTAGACTCATTTGATCTAGTTGGTTTATGTTTAAGTGTTAACTTGTAGCCTGAAATAAAAAATGAATAACTTAATTCATGATTCATGTTTTGAAATTAAAAACGAGTAACATAATTCATTATTCATGTTTTGAAATTAAAAATGAGTAACATAATTTATAATGTATAATGTGTTGGTAATATAGGCATAAGTTGTTGCCAATGTTGTAGACGTCGTGCAAATCCTAGCATCCAAGATGTTGCTGCTGGAGAACGAAAATTCTTCCAATTTACGGTCACCGGTGGCAATGGAAACCCTTCTTTCATGTTTACCTAAATAAAAAAATAACCAAAATAGTAAGTAAAAATAACGAAAAATACTTAGGGTTAATCGCATTATCTAAAAACAACTAAGTACCTGAACCCAATGATTTTCGTTTACAAAACCAATGCAGTAAATCGCTACATTCGGTGAAAATGAAGTTTTCATAGGGAAGAAAGTCCAGCATTCAATTCCTAAACAGACAAGTACAACATTATAACGATTCGCTATCACGTAACCCATATCTGGTAGAGTTAACCATTTATGTGGTGGTTGAGGACCGACTTCCTCTATCATCAAAGATTCTCTCACCACTGCTAACTGATCAGTAAATAAATTGGCATACAAACTTGATCTTTCATTATGTATTATTTCCAACCCCAAGTCTCGACGAACCATTGGCCAACCATCTTCACCAAATCCATGCAATGAAGCAATGACTCTAAATCCATAATTACCATCTGATAGAACATTAACTACATCATCAATATATGACTAAATGTGACTAGGAAACTGAAGGATGAACTGCTTAGATGACTGTGAAGATTGTGATAATTTCAACTTCTTCAAAGCTTGTGATGGTTGAGATTTCTTTTGTGAAGACAGTGATAATTTCAACTTCTTCGAAGTTTGTGATGATTGAGATTGCATCTGTGAAGATTGAGATGCTTGATCAACATACTCGTGATACGAAGGGTCTCTATTAACATCATATCCTACTGGTTTTTTGTCTTTCTTCTTGACTCCCCCTTTAGTTTTTATTTTCTCAGGTGGTGGACACATAGAAGTCATTGTAGGGAAGGCAAGTTCAAAAACCCTACTTTTTAATGCCCTTTTCCCAACAACATCCAGTGACTTAAACCTTTTCCATAACTCATCTATTGCACTACTCATATCCACCTCTGATCCATCATCTACGTCTTCATCCAACTTAACTTCCATACTTAGTTTTCTCCAATGAACATGTACAACATCTATTGGTATCGGTATACCTTCAATTTTATATCCTGTCAACTCACAAGCACAAGGTAATCCGTAGGTTGTTCTAAGAGTACAACGACATATTTCCTTGTTAGTTCCAACATAATCAACTCGTTTTAACTCTTCAACAATGCGTCTCAATGCATCTCGAAACACTGAACCACGTAAATTATTGTAAAATGGACTTATGTGGGTATGCTCAACTTCATAAAAACTCTTTTGAAAAGAAGCTCTAATATTACCCAATTGTAACTTTAAGTTGTCATTCATAGCCTCTCAACATTTGACCATGTCACCAATACTGTTCCCCAACATTTGCTTTAACTTCCAATGAGCAGACTCAACCCTATTAGTCGTGGTGTTACCCAAATGTAGCACTCGATTAATCCATGCTCCAACATATCTTTGTCTATGTGGTGTCAACCATGTGTCCTAATCAATAAATTCATTACAATCAACACACGCCTGCTCAAGTTGGTCCAACCTTTGATCATACTCAACCTCATCACTAGCCCATACAACATCCGTTCATAATTCGTCAATTTTCTTTTGCATGTCACTAGCCACATATTGTTTCCGTTTTGCACCAACATTCTTGTTAATATGAAATCGACATAGCATATTGATCGACCTTGGAAACACAATTTCAATGGCTTTCATCAAAGCAAAATCTCTATCTGTCAAAATCACTTGTGGACACAACTCTTTCTTCACAAACAATTGTTTAAGTTTATCTAGCACCCAACAAAAAGTCTCAGTTTGCTCAGACTCAATATAGGCAAATGTGACTGCAAAAGTCAACTCAATTGATGTCATGCCAACAATTTCAAACAGAGGTTGCCTATATTTGTTTGTCTTGTAAGTGTTGTCCATAACTAGCACAATAGGAAAAATATTCAACAACGTAACTGAATCTGGATGAGCCCAAAAGATATCTCAAATAATTTCAGAGTCATCTCTTTTTCTACTCCAATAAACATAACCTACTTCCTCAATAAGCTTAAACAAATGTTGTATCTCACTTCTAGGACCTCTTATATTTATTTCTATCATACTCTTTTGTTTGTATATTTGCGTGATCCGAGTGACATTATCTGGATCTTGCTCTTGCAATGAAAGCAATATATGTCTAGGTGGAACCTTTCTCTTTGTCAAATCAACAAAATGTTACTTTTGATCTGCTGTCAACCTACCGACAAATGTGTGACCTTCTAATCTATCAGGTAAATCATGGTTATGAACTCCACATTTTACATCAATCTTCCATCCAGATCCATCAGTCGCTGAAATTGATCTGATTCTAAATGGTCATCCACATTTTTTTCGTCGCACTCTGGGCTCCACTATCAATATCTCTGTGTTTTCCTCCTTTATCACATCCAAATATTAATTTGTTACTTTTTCCTCTCTTGCCTGTTTTAATATCTGAGCGAGTGATGATAACCGTAACTTTATTTCAGATTCCAATCTCTTTAATCCATCTTATTACCTCTTCTCGTGTATCAAATCTTTGAGTTTTTGAAAAAACATCAGACGTATCTACGCATATCTGATCTTTATCGCATATTTGTAAAGGAATTTCTAAAACTACATAAAAAAAATTCAAAAATAATTTTAAAAAAAATTGGACAATTCAAACCGGAAGAGTTGTAGCAAGAGTTCCGGTAGTCAAAAAAACAAACCGGAAGACTTGTAAAAAGTCTTCCGGTTTGTTTTTTTGGCTACCAGAACTCTTGCTCCAACTCTTCCGTTGAACACCCATGAAAATTACCAAACCGGAAGTCTTTCATAAAGTCTTCCGGTACATTATTTTTGTGAACCGAAACTCTTTGCCCAAGTCTTCCGGTTTGAGAATAAAGCCTACCAGAAGTCATTTTCAAAGTGTTCCGATAGATCGTGGGATGAATTTCTCGGAAGTCTAAAAAATCTAAAAAGTGAAAAAAAAATTAAAATATATAAGGATAAAATGGGTATTTTTAAAAAAATATAGGGGTATAGGGTAAAATTTAGTTTTGTAGGGATATGGGTAAATAAAAATGAATATATATGTTTTTTAGTTGAGAGAGACATAGAAAATTTAGTTTTTTAAATTTAAAAAATTATAAAAGATCTGATCAATACTTTTTATTTTGGATCAGTCAAAAACTCAAATGATTAAGACTCAATTCTTCTTAAATCTACTTTACTTGATCCAAAGTATAAAATCAGTTAACATACAAAGAGCAAAATACTTTCTCAGATCTTCATTTTTCACTACACTATTTAATCTTGAAATGACTTGAGCGTTGAGGTTAGAGCTGTCAAAATGGACAAGCTCATATGGGCCGACTCATATGGACAAGCTCATTAGAGCCTACATTTTTCAATGTTTTTTTAACGTAGTCCTAAAAGGTCCATTACCCATTATAGTAGTGCGTATGGATCGTGGGTAACCCGTTAGCCCCGCATAGCTATATATTTAAAAATATTATATTCATACTTATATTGTTTTACTTCAAAATACAACATTGATTTTTCTCACCTCACTAAATTTTATCTCTATTTTATTTAATTTTTCTCATTTAAATCTTTTACATTAATATAATCAACACTCTCTCCTCATATTCTATTAGTATTATGTTTATACAACTTAGACATGTATTGTATTTAAAAACATGTTATAATATTTAAAAAAGATAATATAATACTTAAAAATATATTATATTTAAAATAATATAATTTTTAATTACATTTATAATAAATATCATGGGATTTTTATTTTTATTTTTTTTTAAAAAAATCGTTTATGGTCGGGTAGCCCAAAGCCTATCTAGGGTTGAGACCAGGTAATAATTTTCGAGCTCATATTACAACACAATTTTTTTGGCGTATCCCTAAAAAGCCGGAGACCCACCAGGACTGACATGTTTAGAGCAGAATAATTCATTTTGAAAGTTCTAGTTGAGATGCTAACCATAAAAGTCTGTACCGCGTGTTTGTAAAAGAGATCAAGGTCATTGTTCAAGATCATAAGTTATCCTATGCATTCATTTTTGTTTTCTAAAAAGAACATTTTTTTATTTGATTTCATATCTTTTTTATACTCGTATCTATTTTAGATATTTAATTTTAAGTTGTAAAATACACCAAAATAAATCCTACGATGCACAATAGGATTATAATCAATAGTTTATTTTGAACAAGTATACAAATTAATCACAAATAAAAGGAAAGTATATTTTTTGAAGTTGGAAGTGATATATAAGATTTAGTTTTGCAAATTTAAATAATTATAAAAGATTTGATCAATAGTTTTTTTTTTTAATTTGATTTTCATATCTTTTTTTATTTTTGTGTCTATTTTACATATTTAATTTTAAATTGTCAAATTTTATGTGTGATGTGCTACAATTTTATTTATTTATTTATTAAGTTTTGAATTTTTAATTTAAAATTTTATATTTAATTTTTATAGAGTTACACTCAAAAAAATTATTGTAGTAAGAATTTAATGAAAATTTTTAATGACGTGGAAATAATTGAAACATACTCCATCATATAATTATTTCATTTTCATAATTAATAAATTATATAAATATAAATATAAATATAAATAGTATTTTATAAAATTTATGAGAACAATATATTTTTGCATTTGTCAGGCTTGAACCCATGACTTTTTATAGAGAACAATTATGTTTTTTTCTATTTTCTAAAAAGTGAAGGTGAATTTTAGAGTCTGCCACATAGGAATATGTATAGTGTAGCTCAAAAATAGTTAAACGAGATGATGAGGGGGTTCTGATTTAATAATATCTTGCTAAATTAAGACATGTGGGATGTGCAGTTGTAAAAAAGTGATGTATAATCTATCATATTTCAATATTAACTGAGAATGATTTATTTTTAGATATCGTGAAATAATAATTTTGAGATAAAAGATGTTTGGTTTAATTTTTACTTTTGTTATTATGATTTAAAGATTAAAAAAAACATAATCTATCATATATTTCAAGATTAACAAATTATCTTGACTTTTATTTTAAAATTATGTAAACATTATTTTGAGATCAAAGATGTTTGTTTCAATTGTCATTTTTGTTGTTGTGATTTAATGATAAAAAATAGTGTTTTATTTCACACATCTCTTTTAATTTTGTAATTGAGAGAAATATACTTAATTGAAATGATTATTGAGATGTTAAAATATTTATGTTAAAATAAGTAGGGGTGGTAAAACGGGTTGGGCATGTCGGGTCCGCCCATTTAATCCACTATTTTTGGCAGGTCGGGGCGAGATTTTCTACTCAGTGTCTTAAGTTGGTTCATCTCGCCTAACCTACTTTTAAAACTGGTCGAGGGCGGGGCGAGGCAGGTTTTTCCGACGCTTATAAAGTTTAGTTATTTACTTGGAATTAAAACAATATTAACATGGTATGTAGTAAATATACTTTTAAAACAACCCTCATTTCTTAAAATCCTAATATTTATTTTTCACATAACCACAGACCTCATTTTGAAGACATTAACCGGTCTTTGCTTCATTCTTTATTTTCACTCGTAATAGGAAAAAAATTTATTGCAAAACATAGAGAATACATTATTTTCTATTTTTTATTACTCGTTGTCATTGGAGTTGGATTCTAAAGCTATAAGGTTTTACATAAAGGGGTTTGTTTCTTATTATGATAATAAAGTTTTGATTTTTGGAATTTTTAGTGTGTTTGTTTTTTATTTTTGGTATTATAGTTACATGGTTTGAAGAATATGAAATTTGCTTTAAGACTTGTTAAAGTTTTATTATGCATTATTAAAATTTGTCAACCTCTTTTATAATGATTAACAATTTTTTAAATTATGTAGTAAATTAAATTGTAAAAAAATAAAAATTAGCGTCAACTCGTTAGTAAACGAGACAGACTTGACTTTAATTTTGAGTTCAGATGCTTAAGGTGGCCCGCTTGCTCCGCCCCATTTTTGAA